TGAGGGACCTGATATGGTGATTATTCCAGAAGAATTTCACGCCCTTTAGTCTTCTCTCCTGATTTAGCTTTGATTCAATTTTATTTCTTTTTCTGCTTAATGTCACACCACCAAACCGGAACGGCGGAAACGTTCGGGGGCGGAGGACATCATGTATAGTATCACAACAATTGCATCATAGTAATCAAAGTAAACACAACCATTACATTGAATAAATAAGGTATTTACATTTGTTCGATACATAGTTTGTATGACATCAAAATGTATAACAAAAGTATAAAAGACGTAACTCTAAAAGCTTCGTCTTCTCAAAACCTACGGATGTACCTGTCAACCGTTTCCCTATGAAACAATTGGTTTTGAAAGTATATCAACATTTAACTTGGTGAGTTCGTAAGATTGTTTGGGTAATGGAATCTTGTCTTTGAATCTTTGAAATTGTTTGTATGTTTCTCAAGAAAATCCAATATTTTCTTTAGTAGTGAAAAGTAGTCTTAGACGTTAAGACCAAAATATACGTTTATTACTGTATTATGTAATTATATATTGTAGTAGTGTTTGATAAGAACCATTGTTTGAATATCTTTGTATGTATGCTTGGATACCATCAGCTGTATTGTAAAGTATTGTTTTGTATGAAAACCTTTGCATAAAATCCCTAGATACCACCAGTAATTTATAGTATTGTTCTGTTTGATAACCTTTGTATGAAATCCCTGGATAACACCAATAATGTATAGCATTGTTCGGTATGAAAACCTTTGTATGAAATCCTTAGATACCACCAGTAATGTGTAGTATTGTTTTGTTTGAAAACCTTCGTATGAAATCCCTGGATACCACTAGTAATGTATAGTATTGTTCTGTATGAAAACCTTTGTAGGAAATCCATGAATACCACCAATAATGTATAATAGTTTTATTACTTAAAATAAAACCAAGTGTTTGTATTCCCTGGAATCCTCCAGTTGCATTGTATAGTACTTCTATTAATTAAAATAAAACTATTTGAAGAATTAAAATCCCGTAAACAAATGGTTAGCTTATACTGTCGTCAATTTGGTATAACCATGCTTGATGTGACCTAGTGACTTCTATGACGTTCTTCAGGCGTCAGAATGGTATGACATTTGTCACCCTAGGCATGCCGGCCTAAGTGTAGCTAACAGTTCAAGTGTAGGATTGTCAGTCCCGTATAGACCTACAGATAAATCTCACGCTCTCCCTCCAGGAGACTCTGGTTATACTGTATAGGATTTAGTTCCGTACCCTGGTAGATACAATTGAAGTAGTGTCTCACACTCCTATATTAACTAGTTTATGTGTAGCATTGTAGTGTTCTCTTGTACTTGAAACTATATGTATAACCTTGTAGTGTAAAATAATTATACTTAAATAGTTATTTAGTATTGTACTCATGTGTTTCGGGAAATAGTATTGTATACCATAAACTATATCTACCATAGTTTATATGTTCATTTCTGTATAATGTTCTTGAAATAGTAAAAAAGTGCAATGTATCCAAAACTATACCTATTATAGTTTGTATGTATGTATGTTCTCGTTTCTTGTATTGAATTCTATAAAGGTAATGCAATGTTCCCAAACTATATCAAATATAATTCAAATGTATGTATGTATTGTATTGAAAACTTTAAAATTTTGGCTGTATGTTGAAAACCACCCTTATGCTCGCCATGTTACAAAAGGGTTAAAAATATCAGAAATATTTTTATAAAATGTAGTGATACCTCGGTTTGTATCAATTGCAAAAGTTTTTAATCTGTTTTAATTCGTTTGTATAAAACCACAAAAGTCATTGTGTTTTACTTGTATACCCCCTAAAAACATTAAAAATGGGTAAAATGTAGGTGTATGAACTCACTGTTGTTTACGTGTACGAGTTGAACAACGAGACTGGAAAGATGACCCTCGAGTTGACGTACGTGGAATTAACGGTATCATAATAATAGTTAAACACATAATTGTATTTAAATTAGCGAAACCATTAATTAAAATGTTGGAAAACATTTGTTTTTGTGTTATGAATAATTACCGAGAATTGTTTGAAGTAATTGGAAGGAGTTTTGGTCAAAACTCAATTGAGAATCCGGTTCTCGGTCCTGATGAGTTTTCGGTCAGAAAAGGTTTTTGGCCGAACACTGGTTTTTAGTTTTGAGCTGTTATGGGTCGCTTGAATATATGAAGGCTGTTCCTGTTGTTCTTTGTGAAAATATGAAGATTTGAAGGTTTTCACTTGAACGTATGAATGTTTTTGGATGATCTGTGGGAGCAAAAGGAGAGTGTTTTCGGGTGAGATGAGTGAGAAATGATCAAGTTTTCGAGGAAAAACCTTTATATCGGTTTGGGTTTTCTGCTGGAAAAAGAGTTTCCGGCCAAAATCTGTTCTCGGCCCGAAGGTTTTCGGCCGAAAACAATTCGCTGAACGAGTTTTCGTTGATTCGAGGGGAAAATCTTGGTTTTTCGAGTGTTTTTAGGTTCTGAAAACTTATATAAACTTTATTTATATAATTTAAAATATTTTCTAACCCTCACGACCTTAATGAAATATTGACTTGGAAAGTGTCGGGTTGTTACACTCAACCTCTATACACGAAAAATTATAGTGTTTTTTTCTATTTATTTTTTCTACCCTAAGATAATAAAGTGTATAAAGTTAGGGCCCTAGAAAATTAGAGTCATTGGTTTGTTACCCAAGTTGTCCCACCCATTAACAAGACATCTTATAATGTCAGTTACAAAAAACGAGAATATGATCATCGAAAAGCATGAAAATTAAGTTCAAAAAATAAATTGTCCACATATTCATTGGTTAATATTATGGAAATCTCTAGAAAAAATCCTAGTATTTTAGCCTAATTTGAGAAAAGTCTCAAACTAAAACTTGTTTAAAAAAAATATATATATACGAATTACCTGTAAAAATTACAATTTAACCCATTTTTTTTTTCTAATTTCTCAATTTCATTACTCATACGGTTCCATTAAAGTCTTATCATTTTATCATATTTTAGGAATAAACCCCAAACTAAAATTAGATGATGATCTGACACATTTCTCAATGTAACAGATATTTTACCGGTTTAATGTAACAAATATTTTACCGATTTCATTGCCGACCTGGACGTTTACTAATTTAATGAGCTGATAAGATGGATATGTTGGCTTATACAAGGCTACGTTAACCGTAAAACTTAATTTCATGATGTATTATATATTTTTTATAATATTGAATGCATCCAAAAGAGAATGCAATAATTACGTAAATTCACAACTTTATTAGTTTTTAAGTTTATAAGAAATTTCAAATTTATATCTAATCTTAATATATTCGGTATACCTATGTCATTAACTCATTTCCTGCCCTTTTTTTTCTCGAAAACACAAATTTTATTGGTTTTATTGATGACCTAGATGCTTAATTAAAACAATTCGATGAGATGGATATCAAGTTTTACGGTAAGCGTAGCATTATATAACTCGTCATATCCATCTTATCAGTTTATTTAATGACTTGGTCCTGTCCAAGTCAACAATAAAACCGGTAAAATGTATGTTGCATTGAGAAAATGGTCAAATTATCACTTAATTTTGGTTTGGAACTTATTTGTAAATTATAATAGAATAATAAAACTTTAATTTATCCATGTAATTAAGGAAATAAGGAAACCGATATATATATATATATATATATATATATATATATATATATATATATATATATATATATATTAAATGCATGTAAATTGAACTTTTTTAATTTGATGACAAACACTAAATAAGTAAAAGTTATATATATATATATATATAATATATATATATATATATATATATATATATATATATAAACCCCATTATCTAGAATTTGAGGTAAGTGACTTTGCTGGGAAGCTTACGAATTATCTTTGATTTTTTTTTTTGGAATTTTGAGGATTTTTCAATGAATTTTATGATTTTACATTGTCCCACTCAACAAAAAGGCTTTATGGATTCTTACTTTTTGATCTAGACTCAATTGTTCCGACGCTTCTTATCGAAGGAATCTTTTTTTTTTTTTTTTTTTTTTGGAATCCCCTTATCTCTATCCTCTCTTTTTGATGAAAAGCTCCTCCACAAATAACCAGGTCCTTTTTTTATTTATTTTTATTTATTTTTTATTTTATTTAATTTAAAGGTATGTTATCCCTCATTTAGATGTTCAAACTTCCAAAGCTTCTTCCCGAAGGAATTCCCCTCCAATAAAACTCATGCTTTAAAAATTAAGCAATACGAGGAAGGTGGATCGTCTCTTCACCTACACACTTCCATTCACCTCCAAGACGCTTCCCTACTTTCTCACTACACTACTACGTTCGTTACCTCTCTCTACCCAACAACCCAATATTGTTTGCACCCCACATTCTAATTTACGTTTCGATAACTGATAATCCATCGGCCTCTATCATTGGATTAACAAGCAGCTTTAAAGGATATTGTCTGATTCGCTTTTCATTCAGCCAGGTGACTTCATGGATATATCTTTATTTTAATGGTGGTTTATTTTCTGTTTGTGATTCTCAAGTTCTGAAGTCATAAGGGTTTTAAAATTTCAACCGGTGATTTCATTTATTCGTCCTAATAAACTATTCCGTCATTCCAAATTTTCGTTTTTAATGAGAAATCATCTAACTATAAGGGTTTCTATTACTTTTTTTTTTTCAGGAAAGAAATCTATAATCTTAAACCTCTCTTTTATAAGGACCCCCCCGTATATTCATCATTAACAAAGATCCTCTTGGTTTGTTTTCTGATATACTTTTTGTGTTTTCTGTCTCTAAAAAATATTGTTAATGGTTCCAAAAATTAGATTTTAATTTTATTGCATTTCATAAAAGGAAAACAGAAAAAAAAATATACTTGTTTCAATTTTTGTGTTGCTGCATCTTCTTACCCCAAATAGCTCTTCGGTTTTAGCTTTTTTTCCAGCTTTTAAAATTAATATGGGGGATCGTTCTGTTATTTCGGGCAGAAAACGAGGCCCTCTAGGTTCAACCGATAGATATGGAGATAAGAAGCATAAAGCCATAATTATGCTCAACTTTGTCAAAAATTAATCGAAGCAGATGTAAGCTGGATTATAATATGCCCTTTTTGCTATACAGAATCAGAAGTCCAACTTATGTAAGTACCTTTTCACCATAAATTCACATCATTCACAGGCAACATACTTACAAAATCACAAATATTTGGCCAGCTCCAGAGCCACAATTCAAATTGATGATGCAACTGGAGCACTCTCTACAACAATATCAACACCAGACCTTGAAAAGTTCATTCCCTTTACACCTGAGGAATTAAAAGATACAGAAGACAATGTAAGCCCAATTACCTTCACAATAATTCATTAAAAATTAAAACTTACCAATTAAACTAAATACAGGAGAAAAGCATTCACGATACGATAGCAGCATCAGTCGACTCGGTGTTACTTTTCGCATTTATGTGCTCGCAAAAGACATGCCACCAGCAAGAACCAAGCACAACATACAACATTGTCAAAACATACTACATTACACCAGCCAAGAAACCAAAATAGAATAGGGACGAAGGGCCCCTTTTAAAAACATTTTGCTTTTTGAAAACCATTTATAAAAATGGTCCACAATAGCCAATGAAGCAACATTTCACAGATTAAAATCTGACAAACTTTACTTTTTGTATATTGCTTCAAATGCACAAATCTGTTAAGAACTACGTATCAAGAAGCTTTCAGTGCTTGTAGGAAGACAATTGCAATATGGCAATATTACTTTCTTCTGTCTCACACTGCATTTCTTTAAATTTTTTATTATTCTATTTTTATTTATTTATTTAATTTTTATATGTATTATCTACGGTTTATCAGAAACCAATATAGGCAATGTACTTTAATTTTCAGTATAACACCATATTCATTTCATCTTCTTACGTAATATTTGAGGACACTGGGCCGTCCTTAGGATGGCCCTCTGATTTCCCTAGTATATATATATATATATATATACACGATAATGCATGTAAATTGAACATTTTTTTAATTTGATGACAAGGCAAGAAAGGTGTCCCTTCACATTTTAAACACTAAATAAGTAAAAGTTATATATATATATATATATATATATATATATATATGCCCCTGTAAAACCAAATAATAACTTGAGGGATCATTTACATAAATCTTGTATTTATATATACATAAAAACTTAAAAAGTTAGGCTACAGTATATACTTTTTTTCTCTTTCTAAATAAGACACTGCACTTTTCCCTCTTTCTTTTTGAGGCACCTCATTTTTCGTTATGCGTCGTTTATGTAGGCATGTCGGCTGTTTTATTCTTCTTATCTTAAATTTTGCCGACTTACTGCTTTGTCGCCCAGTCATATTTATTCTGCGTTTCTTCTCCTTTTTCTTTCGTTGTTGCATTGCTATTTTCTCTTACACGGTTCCTTCTTTAGGT